ATTCAAGAGGGTTTGCGAAATCTGTAATGTTGACTTTTAGCGTTGTGCAAGAGATTCGCCTTGCTATTTATTATCAAGCTTATCCATGGTCATAGTGCCTTTTCTTAGGTAAACCTTTCTCAATGTCCTGCGGAGGTGATAACTTTGATTGCTAGCCAAGTATGTGATCACATACCACATGGCGTAAACTCTTAGGTGGCTTAGAAATAAAAAATGAACCTTTAGAATATCGTCGTTGTAGTGATCATTATGATCAGTACGTGCACCAATCGGCTGGAATGAATTTTCCAGCAAAAGGGGTGGAGGACTTCTGCAAATCATTATTTCTGCAATGGGGGCAACGGGCTGTGGCCAACCTAATTTCAAAGTTAATTGACACAGATTGCTGTCACGCACATTTTCATGCTGGATTCACTTCGCCTTTTCTGATTTCCTGACAGATGTCCCAATTTTCGTAAAAGTTTGCACTAATCGACAAACATCTGCCTCAGACAACTGGGTAAATCATATAGAGTACTTTATCAAAAAAAAGTTAAACTTGTTATATTTACTTGTGATAACCTCAAAGGTAATGTACTGAAGAGCAGTGTTAGTAAGAGCTTTACAGCTCACGCATGACAAATAAGAATATCACCTATTTTGAACGAAATTCGATTGCAATGCACTTCGAGTACAGGGCGATTTTAAATTTTACAGCCGGAATCCAGTAGCTGAGAGAATAATATAGGAACATCATGCCAGTTAGTTGAGAAAATTGCGATTTTTGTATTTTAACACAATCCTTATTTTCAAGTTTTGACGCAGCAATAGAACTGAAAAGTGTTCGGTATACTAAATTTCAATTTAGTAGCTCTTGATTGTCATGTCTTGGCATTCTTATCTTCCACGAATTATCTTATAAATAGGTAAGGGATGCTCTGATTTGGGGAAGTGGATCGTGTGAAACTGCTCATCATGCTATATCGTCTAGATTTAATAAACTCACTCACTTTATCCTTTTTTCTTGTGTCAATTTATAAAGAGCTCAAATCCAAAATTTTTTGAAAAATGCTCACTGGAAAACTTGGACGCTTTGAGAACCTTCATAATCACACAAATTTAAGCATTTTTTCAAAAGTACATATTTTGAGAGTTGAGGAATATAAACATTGCTAATATTAGCAGGTGGTTTGCAATTTTTATTTTTGTCTCACCATTTTTTAAACTAGAACATCATCAACTATAGTACCATCACCTTGTACTTTATACTGACTTAATATCAACGAACAGTTGCTTTAGCTAAAAAATGCAAGAATCGGGAACATTTTTGCAATTGAAGCGCGTTAATCAATCATAAGATGTTCTAATAAGCAAAGAAGAAGCTATAATATCTGCGAAGGAAACCAGTTTATCATGTTGCCTATTGTTAATCGCTGAAGGGCCTGAAGGGCATCAGCCTAATACCGAGCGCAAGTTCGGTAAAAGTATTCAACCCAAGTTAGAAGAAAGAAGAAAGATTTCCAGAAATGGTAGTATTTGAAGATTTCCTATAATTACATG